ACACACACCACACACACCACACACACACACACCACACACACCACACACACACACACCACACACACACACACACACACACACACACACACACACACACACACACACACACACACACACACACACACACACACACACACACACACACACACACACACACACACACACACACCACACAACACACACACACACACACACACACACACACACACACACACACACACACACACACACACACACACACACACACACACACACACACACACACACACACACACACACACACACACACACACACACACACACACACACACACACACACACACACCACACACACACACACACACACACACACACACACACACACACACACACACACACACACACACACACACACACACACACACACACACACACACACACACACACACACACACACACACACACACACACACACACACACACACACACACACACACACGCCCATTCAGGCAAGTGCTTCTTTGCGGCTGCCCCACAAACCCTGGCGCCATGTTTTTTGGACCCCTGAGGTGTCACCAGGGTTCCAAGCGAAGAGTATATTTTTGAGAACGCCACACTCAGAGCCGTACTAAGAAGGCAAGATGTCAGAGCTTCTTTGGGTTCCAGATGCTTTGACATACGTTTATTCAAGCTGTGGTTCAGGTCGGTCACACGCTTGGCCATGTTTTCGGCCCATGTTTCCATAGAGGTTTGAAACTCTTGGAGGGCGCATCTTCCTTCCGTTCGGGTGACGCATTCGCTGAAGACCCATGGGCTGTATTGTCTCATCAGCGGTCATGGGCAAATTGGCAGTGGCCCTTGGCGTTGAACAGCTGGTGGGTCAACGCCAGGTTGTTACCAACAACTCGGCGATCTGCAAATGCTTTAATAATTGTGTAGCATCGCTTGCCTTGCCTTCCTGCCTTCTACTTGTTTTCCTGCCTTCTGCTTGCCTTCCTGCCTTCCTGCCTTCCTGCCTTCCTGTCTTCTATTTGCCTGCTGCTTGCCTCCAATTGTTTCCATGGACAGGAGGCACGCATTACTTCTGTTCAGAAAGCAAAGGATGGTTGGGAGCTTATCTCAGGGATAGCTGGTAGCAAAACTGATGTGTGGGTATATGCTAAAAATGCTAAAATAGGGGAACCCCCCACTCAAAAAACATTTTCCTGTTGATTTCTTGCAAAAAGGTTCCTCTTTCCGGTGGGTGAAAAAGGGCGGCCGTCAAACACGTCCATGTGGGAGTGCCGTTGTTGAGGAAACTGTTTTTACAGGGAAGCTAAGAGGAAGCCATCCTTTTTCGAGGTTCCCCCATTTTGAGGCCCAATGTGCTCTTGGATTGATATTGCCGAGGTGGCCTCGTCATCAACGCCGAGGGCAAGCGCTTCTGCAACGAGCTGGGCCGCCGGGACTACGTCACAGGCTCGCCATTTTGATGGAGTCGGACAAATGGGTGCGTCCTTTCTTAAGGCATGCTTTTTTCTTGGGCGGTTAAATACACCAGTGGTTTTTGCGCCTTATTTCAAGCCCAAATGGGTGCCTTAAAGTAATGGACCCCAAACTGGGCGGGCTTTCCATCTGGCTTCCTTGCAAGGTCCCAAAAAGGGAGTCCCCAAAAAACCATGGCCACAAGTTTCTGATGGGCAATGATTTTGTACATGGGTGGACCTGGATTTGCATCAATTTTCGATGGGCGCTCCAAAATGGGTGGGTTGTTCTTTTGGTTCCCTGGAGTCGGCACGCGGGGTGGCCACGTGGCTTGACTTCGCGAGGTGAGATGTGGAAGTCCAAGGCTCCCTACCGGCTGATCCTTAACAAGGCGCTCGGGCGCTGGTTGCAAATGGGCGCTGTCTAGTTGGTACCCCAAAGCTTGGGTTTTGAGTTTGTACCCTTGGGCTGTTTCACTGGGTGAAGTGGGTCGGAGACTCTTGGCGCTCTAAATGAAGTGGAAGCCCAACTAGTAGTATGCTAGTTTGTGCCACTTTTCTTCACTTCAGGCGTGTATCCACCCCCGAGCCAACGAGAGAGTCGCCCGCGTGGCCAATCATCCCGTGGTTTCGAGGTGCTTTCACAGCTGAACGGTCTTTCGAAATCAAAGAGTAAGAAGTATATTGTTTCTCAAGCTAGGGGCACCCTAAAAGGTTTGGTTTCCTTTAGATCTAACCAAAAGGGGGTTCAACTTTGTTCCCCTCCTTCGAAACACCCGTGGTGGAGAGTTGACGGCCGCCAGCGAAGGAGTGACACCTACCTACACACAAACAGACACACAAGCAAGCAAGCAAGCAAACAAACGGCGAAAACCGCAGAAAAACAAGCAGAACAACATCACGCTGACCCACAAGCACGCAACCACAAAAACGCACAACCCACAAAAACACAAGCATACAAACAAAGAAACAAAGAAACAAAGAAACAAAGAAACAAAGAAACAAAGAAACAAAGAAACAAAGAAACAAAGAAACAAAGAAACAAAGAAACAAAGAAACAAAGAAACAAAGAAACAAAGAAACAAAGAAACAAAGAAACAAAGAAACAAAGAAAAAGAAACAAAGAAACAAAGAAACAAAGAAACAAAGAAACAAAGAAACAAAGAAACAAAGAAACAAAGAAACAAAGAAACAAAGAAACAAAGAAACAAAGAAACAAAGAAACAAAGAAGCAAAGAAGCAAAGAAGCAAAGAAGAAAAGAAGAAAAGAAGCAAAGAAGCAAAGAAGCAAAGAAGCAAAGAAGCAAAGAAGCAAAGAAGCAAAGAAGCAAAGAAGCAAAGAAGCAAAGAAGCAAAGAAGCAAAGAAGCAAAAACAAAAACAAAAACAAAAAGAGAGAACAAAGAAGAGAACAAAAACAAAGAAGAAAAACAAAGAACAACAAAGAAACAACAAAAACAAAGAAACAACAAGGAAACAAGGAAACAAGGAAACAAGGAAACAAGGAAACAAGGAAACAAGGAAACAAGGAAACAAGGAAACAAGGAAACAAGGAAACAAGGAAACAAGGAAACAAGGAAACAAGGAAACAAGGAAACAAGGAAACAAGGAAATAAGGAAACAAGGAAACAAGGAAACAAGGAAACAAGGAAACAAGGAAACAAGGAAACAAGGAAACAAGGAAACAAGGAAACAAGGAAACAAGGAAACAAGGAAACAAGGAAACAAGGAAACAAAGAAACAATTAAACAAAGAAACAAAGAACCAAAGAACCAAAGAAACAAAGAAACACGCAAACACGCAAACACGCAAACACGCAAGCACGCAAACACACAAACAAACAACCAAACAACCAACCAACCCACCAACCAACCAAACAAAGAAACAAAGAATCAACGAACCAAAGAAACAAAGAAACAAAGAAACACAGAAACACAGAAACAAAGAAACAAAAGAAACAAAGAAACAAAGAAACAAAGAAGCAAAGAAACAAAGAAACAAAGAAGCAAACAATCAAAGAGACAAAGAAGCAAAGACGCAAAGAAGCAAAGAAACAAAGAAGCAGAGAAACACAGAAACACAGAAACAAAGAAACAAAGAAACAAAGAACCGAAGAAACAAAGAAGCAAAAGAAGCAAAAGAAGCAAAAGAAGCAAAAGAAGCAAAAGAAGCAAAAGAAGCAAAAGAAGCAAAAGAAGCAAAAGAAGCAAAAAACACAAGAAGCAAAAGAAGCAAAAGAAGCAAAAGAAGCAAAATAAGCAAAAGAAGCAACAGAAGCAAAAGAAGCAAAAGAAACAAAACAAGCAAAAGAAACAACAGAAACAAAAGAAACAAAAGAAAGAAAAGAATCAACAGAAGCAAAAGAAGCAAAAGAAGCAAAACAGGCAAAACAAACAAAGGAAACAAAAGAAACAAACAACAAAAGCAACAAAAGAAACAAAAGAAACAACAGAAAAAAAAAAAAACGCAAAAGAAGCAAAGGAAGCAAAAGAAGCAAAATAAGCAAAAGAAGCACAAGAAGCAAAAGAAGCAAAATAAACAACAGAAACAAAAGAAGCAAAGAAGCAAAGACGCAAAGAAGCAAAGAAACAAAGAAGCAAAGAAGCAGAGGAGCAAAGGAGCAAAGAAGCAAAGAAGCAAAGAAGCAAAGAAACAAAGAAACAGAGTAACAAAGAAACAAAGACGCAAAAAAATCAAAGAAGCAAATAAGCAAAGAAGCAAAGAAACAAAAAAGCAAAGAAACAAAGAAACAAAGACACAAACAAACAAAGAAGCAAAGAAACAAAGAAACAAAGAAACAAAGAAACAAAGAAGCAACAGAAGCACAGAAGCAAAGAAGCAAAGAAGCAAAGAAGCAAAGAAGCAAAGAAACAAAGAAGCAAAGAAGCAGAGGAGCAAAGGAGCAAAGAAGCAAAGAAGCAAAGAAGCAAAGAAACAAAGAAACAGAGTAACAAAGAAACAAAGACGCAAAAAAATCAAAGAAGCAAATAAGCAAAGAAGCAAAGAAACAAAAAAGCAAAGAAACAAAGAAACAAAGACACAAACAAACAAAGAAGCAAAGAAACAAAGAAACAAAGAAACAAAGAAACAAAGAAGCAACAGAAGCACAGAAGCAAAGAAGCAAAGAAGCAAAGAAGCAAAGAAGCAAAGAAACAAAAGAAACAAAAGAACAAAAGAAACAAAAGAACCACATGAAACAAAAGACACAAAAGAAACAAAAGAAACAAAAGAAGCAAAAGAAGCAAAAGAAGCACAAGAAACACAAGAAGCAAAAGAAGCGAAAGAAGCAAAAGAAGCAAAAGAAGCAAAAGAAGCAAAACAAGCAAAAGAAGCAAAAGCAACAAAAAAAACTAAAGAAGCAAACGAAGCAAAACAAGCAAAAGAAGCAAAAGAAACAAACAAATCAAAAGAAACAAAAGAAACAAACGAAACAAAAGAAACAAAAGAAACATAATAAGCAATGAAACAAAGAAACAAAGAAACAAAGAAACAAAGAAGCACCAGAAGCAAAGAAGCAAAGAAGCAAAGAAGCAAAGAAACAAAAAAACAATGAATCAAAAGAAGCAAAAGAAGCAAAAGAAGCACAAGAAGCAAAAGAAGCAAAAGAAGCAAAAGAAGCAAAAGAAGCAAAAGAAGCAAAAGAAGCAAACGAAGCAAAATACAACCAGCAACCAGCAACCGGCAACCAACAACCAACAGCCAGCAACCAGCAACCAATGGCTAGAGAGGGGGAAGACAGAGAGATGGTCGGCGGGTGGCTGCGTTCTCAAATGGTTTGCCGCGCCGCAGCTTTTTTGAGTGGTGCTCGAGCTCTTGCCTTTTCTTGCCTTTAGGGACCATGCGCATGTCTGTGTGGTTCGCCTTGGCGGTGATGTGGTTGGCTTTCGGGGTCAAGGAGGAAGGGAGGGATGAGGATGTTGCCCCCACATCGGATGAGTACGACGACCTTGATCTGCAGATGGGTCTATTCGCAGCCCTCGGCGAGTGCAGCTCGTCCGACGAAGCAGAGCCCCTGCCAATCCAACCGCCGCTGCAAGCGGTGGACCCTTTGGATTTGGCCTTGAACGCCTTGGGTGTTCCAAACTTGTTTCAAGAGTGCGCCCCCAATGACTGGGCAAGGGCGGCGAAAAATGCCTTTAAGCAGGCGTCCTTGCTGTGCCACCCCGACAAGGGTGGCGACCCGGCGGACTTTGCAAATCTGCAAAGAAGCTACGAGATGCTGGCCGAGCACATCGCTGCGTGGAAGCGAGTGGCTGATTTGGTGAAGTGCCAAATCACGTGCCACTGCTCTGAGTGCTTGCGGTTTTTCATGAAACTCACCAAGTGCCGGCTTTGTCTTGGCCTTGGCAGCAAGAACGGGCACTCCGGCTGTGGCTTGAGCCAGGTTTCCAGTTACTTTCGCCGGTACCATGTTGAGAAGCCCTTGGCCTTGGGCCGGTATTATGAACTCCTAGCCCACGGCAAGGGCGAGGAGGAGGCAAAGCGAATCCTGAAGGCCGAAGAGGCACGGTTGGCTGCGGAAGCCAAAGAGATGGTTAGACTTGAAGCGCACAAGCGCAAACATTTGGAAGAGGAGAGGGACATCGTTTTCCAGCAGGAGCTGGTTAAGGCCATCGACGAGTCCAAGAAGAGCATTCGCGACAAATGGGCTGCCCAGAACCCTACCATCCCTTTGCCTTCACCCATTGGGATTGGGTCTTTAGCCGATGTAGTGACCTCGGGCGGCGCTTTGGGCAGCGGGGCCAGCCCGCAAGTGGTGCAGACGGCTCTGTCTTCGCCCCCGGCTGCCCAGCCTTCCACCTTCAGGGCGCCGCCCACGGCTGAGGAGCTGGCTCAGGCAAAAGAAACAACAGAAACAACAGAAACAAAAGACAAAGAAACAAAGAAACAAAGAAACAAAGAAACAAAGTAACAAAGAAACAAAGAAGCAAAGAATCAAAGAAACAAAGAAACAAAGAAACAAAGAAACAAAGAAGCAAAGAAAGAAAAGAAACAACAGAAGCAAAGAAGCAAAGAAATAAAAGAAACAAAAGAAACAAAAGAAACAAAAGAACAAAAGAACAAAAGAAGCAAAAGAAGCAAAAGAAGCAACAAAAAGAAAGAGAAGCAAGAGAAGAAAAGAAGCAAAGAAGCAAAGAAGCAAAGAAGCAAAGAAGCAAAGTCGCAAAGAAGCAAAGAAGCAAAGTCGCAAAGACGAAAAGACGCAAAGACGCAAAGAAGCAAAGAAGCAAAAGAAGCAAAAGAAGCAAAGGAAGCAAAAGAAGCAAAACAAGCACAAGAAACAAAAGAAGCAAAAGAAGCGAAAGAAGCAAAAGAAGCAAAAGAAGCAAAACAAGCAAAACAAGCAAAAGAAACAACAGAAACAAAAGAAACAAAAGAAACAAAAAAACAAAAGAAGCAAACCAAGCAAAACAAGCAAAAGAAAAGAAACAAACAAATCAAAAGAAACAAAAGAAACAAACGAAACAAAAGAAACAAAAGAAACAAACGAAACAAAAGAAACAAAAGAAACAAAATAAACAAAATAAACAAAAGAAACAAAAGAAACAAAGAAACAACTAATCAAAGAAACAAAGAAACAAAGAAACAAAGAAACAAAGAAACAAAGAAACAAAGAAACAACAGAAACAAGAGAAACAAGAGAAACAAAAGAAACAAAAGAGGCAACATAAACAAATAAACAAATTCACAAAGAAATAAAAAACACACAATCAAACAAACAATCAAGCAAGCAAGGAAGCAAGGAAGCAAGCAAACAAGCAAGCAAGCAAGGAAGCAAGGAAGCAAGGAGGCAAGGAAGCAGGCAAGCAGGCAAGCAGGCAAGCAGGAAAGCAGGCAAGCAGGCAAGCAGGCAAGCAGGCAAGCAGGCAAGCAGGCAAGCAGGCAAGCAAGCAAGTAAGCGAGCGAGCGAGCAAGCAAGCATTCAAGCAACAAAGAAAGCAAGCAAGCAAGCAAGCAAACAAGTAATCAATCAAACAAGCAAACGAGAAACCACATGCACGAACGAACGAGCCAGCAAGCAAATAGGCAAGCAAGCAAGCAAGCAAGCCAAGCCAAGCCAAGCCAAGCCAAGCCAAGCCAAGCCAAGCCAAGCCAAGCCAAGCCAAGCCAAGCCAAGCGAGCAAGCAACGCAAGCAAGCAACCAAGCAATCAGGCAGGCACGCAGGCAAGCAAGCAAGCCCGCCCTCCCGCACTTACTCGCCCCCTCGCACGCGCGTGCGCTCGAGAGAAAGCGAGCAAGCAAGCAAGCAAGCCAGCCAGCCAGCAACCCCAATTTGCGCCACTTTCCCAGTTTTTGCTCGTTTGTTTCTGGGTTTCAACCACAGTTTCCCAGTGGGTCCTCATGTGAGAGTGGTTCCTTTTTTTGACATCCTCTTTTCAGATCAGCCATTTCAGGGTCCCTTTCGCCATCGTTTTCGTTCAGGCGGCCTCTGATGAGATCATTTGGCACTGCAAGCACTACACGGGCCGTGGGGTCATGAAGTTTTACAAGAGCGGGGAGGAGCCGTGGGTCTCAAAAGCAAGAGAAATCCAAGAAGCACTCCTTTGGCAGCCAGTTTCTATGGGCCAGTTTCGAGTGGTCGGTGTTTCTATTGGGTAAAAGATCTCAAAGATGAAAAAGACCCCCCCTTTTCAACTCGGGCTGTGGCTCCGTTTGATTTGGGCTCCGTTTTCGCGGTGCCCGACCCCAAGACCTGGGATTCTTGGAGGAGCTCTGCCAAGACATGGGCATTCCCGTGAGCACCTTGGAGGCGAAAGCGCCGGCTCGCCCGGATTTCCCGACCGGCTCTCTTAAACGGCTACGAACTCAAAAAGATCACATACCCAACAGAAACAAATAACCTCATTTAATTTGCTTCCCAGCTCTGGTGGAAAGCGAGCAGAACGCACAAAACGACTCCAACACGTGTTCAATACCCAGCATGAACACAGGGTTCCATACAATTCCCCTCGAAGGGTGGTGTTACGCGCCACATTTTGGTTGCCAATTTGAGAAGAGTTCACTTTCGGGGGCGATTCATGTTTAAAGGGGTAAATATGGGTGTGTCTCAAAATTGGGAGGCCACTTTCAAGGTTGGCTTCCTGGATTCCTCTATAAACCAACCCCCTATCCTCAAGCCTCAGGCCCATAATCCGGAACCTGCACCATGGTGACCCTCGTGTCGCAAATCAAAGGGAGTGGAAACGAACAAATTTAGGGGCCCGATCCCTTCGAGAAGCCCGGAAAACCATTTCTTGATCCCAAGGACGCAGATGTGGCTGTGGGTCAAAAATATGTACCCAAAAAAAAATCAATCCTGGTGAATGGAAAAACTGATGGTTTAATTTTGACCCATGCCCATATGTCCCCATGTCCCCCCTTTCTGCGAAGCGCGCAGGTCACCCACCAGGAGCACTTCGAGGCGGCCAAGAAGCAGGAGAAGGACCCGGAGGGCGGGCCCTTCCCCGCCTACCCCTCTGGCAAGACCTGGGATGAGGCGACCGAAAGGGGGGTCTGTGGGCAAGGGGTGGGGCGTGAAGAACTCACTCTTGTCATTTTCTTGACAAACTGAAATACTTGGACCATTGCGCTTGTTTTACAATCTCAGGAAGTGAGTCAAAGTGGAAACCAAGAGCAGGTTGTTTACACAAAGTAAAGGCTGAAGCATGCGGCCAGGGAGTCCAACGCCGATCCCCTGAGGCCAGTGGCAAGACCGGTGTGGGCAAGAAGTTCTTCCACAACATCATCGATGGATCCAAGGCCGCTGGAACGAGACCAGCATCTCACTCCCCTGATTGACATGGATCCAAACCATGCCGTTTGGAGGAGGTCTGGCTGACCACATTGCAACCGAAGCCAAGAAACCAAATTTGTCGGGTTGTGGCAGGAGCACACAGTTGATCTCTGGCCACGGAGAAACAGTTGGAATTAGTGTTTATTGACGCCCACATCAGGAGCTCATGGGCGCATGGCATGTTGAAATAGGTCTGCTTTGGGGGCCTTGGGAGTGGTAAGACAGTACGACTTTGCGGTTTTGTCTTTAGGGTTCTGCCAGTGCAACAAGATATCGCTCGTCCCTGCGCCATGTGAAAGGTACAGTACAGTGGAGGGGCGGGACCCGTCTACAAGGCCCCTCAAAGACAAGGTCCGTGGTAGTCACCAATACATGGAGCTTTGGACCACTGTAATCATGCATAGAAGGGGTTTAGGCGTGGCGAAAAAGCAAAAGGCAATTCAGGAGCTGGCATGTTTGCAAAGTATCCTGGTGTAAGACAGCTTGGTGCGCAGGCCTTTGCTTAAAGGGCCTTTCGAGCAGTCTTTTGGCAATCGCAAGAGACTCATTACCGACTGCTCTCGCGCCTGTTGTTTCAACGTGTTCAGTTTTTGCAATATGCTATTGTTTAGGGATGCTGCCCAAGACTCAAATAAATCACCAACGCCCGTGGACAAGCAGGAATCCTCAACTTGAAACAGACGGAAGGAGCCTTTATTTATTTTTGTTTGTTCTTCTTTGCGCAAATTTATGCTTGTTCTGCTATCTATTTCCTTCCTCTTGTTTCAAGCGGCCTTTTCTCCGTTGAGGTGAAGAGCGAGCCTTTCTACAGCGCCATCATCACCCCAGTGATCCACTACTGCATGGGCGGCCTGGAGATCGACGAGCTCTCCGCTGTGGTGGACAAGTCTGGCAAGGCCATCCCCGGCCTCTACGCGGCAGGCCGGAGATGCGGGCTAGAGGGAGAAAGGCGATTTGGGCTTGCGTCAGCAAAGCCCCCTGCCTGCTCTGCAGATGGTTGGCTGATCTTTTAAGTCCAGTGTTGTAAACCGATTTGCTGGGCACCACCTATTCATAAATCCGGATAAAGAACAGGCAAACGGTGTGCATCCCTGCCATTCTGCAGGCCAGGTGAAGCCTGTAGTTTGGACCCCTTCATCACAATCTTTGCAGTTTGGAGCAGCAAGCCCAGTTTTTGGGGCCCAACAGGAGTCCCGAAAATACGCGACCCTAAAATTTAACACACCCCACATCACTGTCCATCCCAATTGTACCGAGCAATGGTGTGTGTCTTGAGGGTACCCCTGTTGGGATCAGTTTAAAACGAAATCAACAGAAAACTGAAGCCCAATCATTTTCGGGGTCACCGTTTCTTTTGGCACGTGTCATAGAAACCAGCTAGCTACAGGACATTCTGCAGGAAGATAGACAAATTCCAAAACAATGGGTTTCCTCCAGAACTTTCTGTAACTGGTCTCTTAGAAATGCCGAAGAACCCAAGTCCAGAAGTCCAGGGGAGGTCGCCGGGGGCGTGCACGGCAACAACCGCCTGGGGGGCAACTCCCTGCTGGACTGCGTGGTCTTCGGGCGGGTGGCGGGCAAGGCCTGCGCCAAGTACATGCTGGGCGACAAGATGAAGAGCAGCCTGGGTAAAACAAAAGCTGGGGGGGGGCCGGGGGTCCACTTTTACTTTCTTTTTTGTTTTGTTTTTTGTTCGTTTTTTTTTTGGGAGGGTGACCTGCATGTTGAAGGATTTAGCGGATGCCGGAGATGCAGCAACATGATTCTGCAGGTTGCCAGCCTGCAGGTTGGCGGAATTAGGGTTTAGAGGACAGCAACATGATTCTGAAGGTTGCCAGCCTGCAGGTTGAAGGATCTTCAGGTGCTGGTGCTGCAGCAATGTGATTCTGCAGGTTGGCAGCTTGCAGATTGAAGGGTAGCAACATGAAGCAGGCTGTCAGCCTGCAGATTGAGGGGTTTAGAGGATGCCGGTGATGCAGCAACATTGATTCTGCGGGTTGCAGCCTGCAGCTTGAAGGCTGTGGATGATGCTGGTGATGCAGCCCCGTAATTCTGCAGGTTGCAGGCCTGCAGATTGAGCCTGCAGATTGAAGGGTTTAGCGGATGCCAGTGATGTAGCCTTCCAGATCGAAGGGTTGAGAGGAGCAGCAACATGAAAGCAGTTGCCAGCCTGCAGGTTGAAGGGTTGAGAGGATGCCGGTGTTTGAGCAACATGATTCTGCAGGTTGCCAGCCTGGAGGTTAAAGGGTTATTGGATGCAAGCAGCAGCATGATTCTGCAGGTTGCCAGCCTGCAGGTTGCCAGCTTGCAGGTTGAATGGTTTAGAGGATGCCGTGATGCAGCAACATGATGGTGCAGCTGCCGGCAGGAAAGGTTTTGTAGGATGCCGGTGATGCAGCAGCATGAAGCCGGTTGAAAGGTTTAGAGGCAAGGTTGAAGAATTTAAGGGGATATACCGGTAATGCAGCAACATGAAAGCAGGTTGCAGGCCTGCAGGTTGAAGGGTTTACAGGATATGCCGGTGATGCAGCAACATGATTCTGCAGGTTGCCAGCTGCAGGTTGAAGGGTTTAGAGGATGCCGGTGATTCAGCAACATGATTCTGCAGGTTGCCAGCCTGCACCACCAGCCGAAAGGTTTTGAGGATGCCGGTGATGCAGCAACGTGATTTGAAGGGTTGAGAGGATATGCCGGTGATGCAGCAACGTGAAGCAGGTTGCCAGCCTGCAGGTTGCAAAGTTTAGAGGATGTGCCGGTGATGCAGCACCATGAAGCAGGTTGCCAGCCTGCAGGTTGCAGGGTTTAGAGGATGCCGGTGATGCAGCAACATGATGATTCTGCAGGTTGCCAGCATGCAGGTTGAAGGATTTAGAGGATGCAGGCAGCAATACCAAGCAGGTTGCCAGCCTGCAGGTTGAAGGGTTTAGAGGATGCCGGTGATGCAGCAACATGATGACGCCGGTTGAAGGATTTAGATGCATCCAGCAACATGAAGCAGGTTGCCAGCCTGCAGGTTGAAGAGTTTTGAGGATGCCAGTGATGTCGCAACATGATGATTCTGCAGGTTGCCAGCCTGCAGGTTGAAGGGTTTGCAGCCTACCAGTTGCCAGCCTACAGGTTGAAGGATTTAGAGGATGCATGCAGCAACATGAAGCAGGTTGCCAGTCTGCAGGTTGAAGGGTTTAGAGGATATGCCGGTGATGAAAGATGAAGCAGGTTGCCAGCCTACCAAATCTGAGCTTGTCTCTATTTTGGGGGACCTGTGGTTGTCTCCCTCAAAGCAAGTTGAAGTTTGCACCTGGTTATTCCAACACAAGTGTGCGACTGTGGTTTGGCCTCGTTTCCCCTCCCTTCCAGCGGCACCAAGCGCACACCAAGCCAAGCGCGCACGTCACCCGGCCGTCGGGGTCGAGGTATGGACCTCAAGGAGCTCTCTGGCGGAGGGCTGGCGGCTGATGCCCCGGCCTCCAAGCTTTGAGGCGCACCTGGGGACATTTTCGGCAGCGCAAGGTGCGTGGCATTGTTTGCGTCTCAAGCGGGAATATGCCAAAAGGTGTGCTAAAGGGAAGTTAACGAATTCAAGAAACTAGTCGAAAAATGGGAAGGTGCCAAACATCTTTGGGATCCACAAGAGAGCTGATCATGAGATTCCCTAGTTGGCCAGATCTTGTTGGACGCCTAGCGGGAATTCAACATCAACTTGTTCTTCTTCTTTTTGCCAACATGCGCATTGACTATTATTTTCTCCAACATGGCCTTGTGCCCACGTCAGGGAGGGAGGGTCAGGTCGGCAAGAGTCACCTGGCCAGTTTCTCTTGTTCCCCAAGAAACATGTTTCAGGCTTGCTTTCTCACTGAGGTCTGGTAAATGCAGCGGCTTATGCAATGTTTTTCCCCCCCCCCCCATTTTCCAGGCAGCTCTGGTTTCTTTGCTCAGGTGGGCCTGTCATCTCGAGACATTTTCGAGACAGCCGCTTGAATGCAAGTTGTTTTGCTTTGGCTGTCTGGTGGGGCCCTATCACCTGCCAATTAGGGAACAAGTACCCTGGAATGTTTTTCTAACTGAACACTGTGCAAGTGTCCGAGCTTTCTCATCGGACTGCGTAAACGATCATTCCTGATTCTCATGAGCCCCACCCGTCAATTTCGGCGCACAACGAGCGCCCGCACAGAGTATCCCTAGAGTAGAGGTGTATTCCAGCGATTGGGCAGCACAGGGAGGGCGTGCCTTCAAAAGGTTAGGAGCCTAGTTTGCTCAGGGGCCATTCTCACCTTTGTTTGTTTCCTGAGTTACTAGTTGGAGCGGATCGTAGTAATGTGGTGGTAAAGTGGTAGCAGTGGCAGCAGCAGTTCAAAGTTGAGTAGCTGCTCCGAAGTGGAACCGTGCAAGCTTGAGAATCATCAATCATGCCCGTGACACTTCTAGTCTGTGACTCGCCCTTTCGTCCAAGGCACGCGGCCGATTTTCCCTCCTGTGAAGAGGCAGAAGTCAATACTTTTGCTCAAAGCTGCGTTGAAACTTGCAAGTCAAATTTGTCATGCCTGCGCATGAGCTGAAATCTTCCTGCTCGAAGCCGGGGGGCGTGCGTGCAACTCTGGGACAATGAACATGACCTAGATCCACAGACTGTCAGTGTACGATCCCTGGGCTGTTTGCACCATTTGGCTGCCCCTCTTTTGGGTGCGTCTGGTGCCCAAGCTGTGTCAAGCTTGAGCAGTTTTCAAAGCAGCTGTCAGATGCACCGGCCTGATGGGCCAAGGAAATATTGTTCCCATGCAGACGACTGAGGGGTTTTCTTTGCAAGGCGCTTGTGCGCCTCTGTGTCCGGTGGAATTGGTTGTTGGCCACCCAACTCCACTGGCTGCGCTTGTGCCCACACTCAAGAGCATGTGGCGAAAGGGTGCTTTGCGGGGGAGGGGGGGAGACACCGATGTTCTGTTTCTGCGTCTGCAGTGTTTGCTTGCTCTTTATACAGTGACTCATACAGTTGCTTTCGGACGTGGAAGTCACCATGCCATCTAGAATCTAGAACTTACTATTGGTTGAGGAACAGTGAGTTTTTTGCGGACAGAGTTCACTGGAGCTGCAGGGTAGAAGGCCCCGGAAAACCCTTTTCACCTGACGTGTTTTTGGATGCTCTTTGCGGGATTCACTTTTGGGCTAGTTTCCAGGGAAGCCAGCAGGAAACCACCCCCCAGTTTTAAGATTTTGAGACATGCCCATGTATTTGTCCCGGACGTGATGTCTGCGGGTGGGGCTCGCAGCTTCCGCGAAGCGAATCCGGGCGCTGGGCATCATGGGGCTGTGGCGGCCCCAGAGGGATTGGGCGCGGCAGCACCCAAACCCCCCATCCGCCATTTGAGTAGCGGCTAGCGGTTCTAAGTGGTTTCATAGAATTTCAAGTACAGCCTTATAAACAAGTTGCATAGCATTCATTTAAAACAGGTTATGAAAGTAATAATGTTCATCAACCTAAGAAATTGGTCAAACCACTACATCATGTTTTTGTTGGCTGCATTGTGCCTTAGTTTACAGTTCCAAGCGATGTAGAATGTAATTCTGTGTTGTTAATACATCCATTATAAATCGTCAATGTTTCTAAGTATTATTCTCATCGCGTGCTGTATCATTCTAAATAGTTACGGTTAAAGATACTGGTTTAATATTACACGTATATGCGAGGTGGGCAACGATTGACAAAAAACTGACCTCACGTAGATTGGTCAGTCACTCTTCATTTCGTGTGTGCTATGATTTCCGCTACCCCCCAAACCAGTAGGGGTTTCAAGGGTACCCGGTCCGGACCAAACCAAGGCGCGCTGAAGGCGCCGCGCCCCTATGCTGGCGCTGAGCTTGGCCCAAGCCTCAATTCCTTGGGAGCTCTTCTATAAGTATGAGTTTGTAAATGTATATATGTGTATATATATATATAAAGACATATTGACATATCTAGGTAGATGCAGGCATATACACTACATACACGAGCATGCATACACATGCAACACAGTCGAGCATTTTGCTGGACCATAGCCGAGTAGCACGCTTCTCCAAAGAAGAAGTCCATCGCTCTCGAGGGACGCGCTCACGTGCCACGCGCATTTGAAGGGACTGATTTGATGGGCGTCCAGTGGCTCAGAGAGGCACCCCTGAGCATCCTACCAGCATTGAGTTGGAAGAGATATGGCCATGAGGAAGATTCCCTTTGCGTCCACCCCCCAGAGACACAACAGATTCATCGGGGCCTTCTGCTTGCACGCAGGTAGTTTTATTGGCCTGCGTGGAGGCCGGGGGTGGGAGTGCGGCGCCTGGGTTGGCCTCGGCAGTGCGCAGCCGAAAGCATTGCCAAGCCATTTGTGAAGGCAGAACCTGCGCACACGTGCCGATGTTCCCATCCCGATCTCTTCTTTTCATCATCACCTCACAGGAGATGGGAGGTTCTGCTGCTGCTCCCGCTACCCTACCGCCACTGGCAAGTTGGTGGCGGCAGCAGCACTTTCAACTGCCGCAGCCAAACGCAGAAGTGTGGCAGCAACAGAAATCATTGACACTGAGCAAGTTCAATATTTGCGCTCATTTGATCATGTGCACGGACGTAGGTTTCCCGCCCAAACTGCATTGCCCCAGCGGCAAGATATGTAACTGTGGCTCCAAACTGCTCGTACTCCACAGACATGGCTGCTTTGTTGTTCTCCACCCACCCTTGCATTCTGCCATGAGTGGTTACAGACCTCAGACTTGTCCATTTTTCCCGATTCCCAAATTTCGGGTCGAGTCCATAGGCGGTAAATATATGTATATATATATATATATATGTTCCAGGCCGTGAACCCCCCCAACCCCCCCCCCCCCGCTGTGGGGGTGGGGTTGGGTGGTGGGGTGGTTGGGTCGTTGGGGTGTGGTTTGGAGTTGGTTTAGGCTTGGTGGGTTGGTTTAGGGTTGGTTCAGGGTTGGTTTGCGGTGGGTTTCGGGTGGGTTTAGGGGTTTGGGTTGATTAGGCTTAGGGTTGGGGTTAAGGAGGGGTTGCAGGTTGGTTTGGTTTGGGGTAGGATGTTGTGAGGGCTGCTGGGGTGTTGGTTCACGGGATGAAAAAGCTGCAGGGCTCACACGGTACTAGACAGCATCCCCAGCATTGCCAGCATCATCCCCAAGATGCAGATGATGCGGGGGAGCGGGGCCCCACAGACCATACCATTGGGGGAGCACGTGGCCCAGGGACTGGTACATAGATGTTCCAGGCTGTGGACCCCCCCCGGCTTCAAATGTGGCGGGGTGGGGTGGGGGTGGGGTGGGGTGGTTAATTAAAGGTTCGTTTAGGGTTGGTTTGGGGTTTACGGTGGGTTTAGGGTTGGTTTTGGGTTAGCTTAGGGTTGTGTGTTTAGGGTTGGTTTAGGGTTTGATTGGGGTTAGTTGGAGTTGGTTTAGGGTTGGTTTAGGGTTGGTAAGGTTTGCTTCGTGGGGGCGGGGGTGTCGGGCGGGCTTCAGGGGGTGAAAGGGTGGGGGTCACCGTAGTTGTGGGGGGATGGTACAGCGTTGCCAGTCCCCCCGCCACCCCCCCCCCACTGGTCATGGGTCAGACAGGTACCCCCCCTGTGGTGGTTGGGTTGTGTTGGGTTGTGGTGGTTATTTTAGAAAAGGTTTAGTGTGTATTTAGCGTGTATCTCGGGTTAGTTTAGGGTTGGTTTAGGGTTGGCTTATGTTGATTTAGGGTTGGTTTAGGGTTGGTTTAGGTTTACAGGTTGCGGTTTAGTTTGGTTTAGGGTTTGGTTGGTTTAGGGGTGGTTGGTTTAGGGTGTATGTGGGGTTAGTTTAGGGTTAGCTTAGGGCTGTGTGTTTAGGGTTGGTTTAGGGTTTGGCTGGGGTTAGTTGGAGTTGGTGTAGGGTTAGTTTCGGGTTGGTTTATGGTTGGTTGCGGGTTGGCTTGTCCTGGGGGTGGGGGTGTCGGGGTGCGAGTTCAGGGGGTCGGGGTGGGGGTGGGACAGGGGGCTCGGCCCCAGGACCCATACCATTTGGGGGGGGGGGGGGGTAGCAACACGGAACATGGGACCATATATATATATATATATATGTAAATTTTTGTCTACGTACATACATATATAATGTATGCTCCAACAGTTTCACACCGAATCCTGAGCCCACCCACGTCATGCAGAATTGGTAAAAAGGAGAGCGGGGAGCCCTCACAACCTCCAATTCACAAATCGATGGGGATGCATTTGGGTATGTGTCAAAGTAGAGATTTGGACCTTCAAAATGCTGGTGTTCCTTTCGTTTTCGTTTTTACCAAGGTGGAAAGGCTCCCCTCAAGAAACTTTTGTGTTTCCTTTGAACCCACCCCAAAAGGGGCACACCCAAGAAATTCGGGAAACTAAAAATGGGTAGGCGACCCGCCTGTCTGTTCGCAGGCGGCTCCGCGGGCGCGGGCAGCACCTCGGAGGGTTCCACAGTTTGAGAAGCCGCGGCAGGAGGGGAGATGGCCGTGGAATGTCAAGGGCTTTCCTACGGTTTTCCTCTGGTTTTCTGGTGGAGAACATCACCAAAAGGATGCCAACTCTAACAAAGACACCAGTGGCCATGGATTCGAATATGTCTTAGTGGTTGGAACACCCTTACGAACGTCACGATTCATGTAAATGATGTCCATCAAACGCTCCCAATTGGAAAAATCAATGCCAGATTCTTTTGTTCATTTTTTTGGTGGGTCTTGAAGGAAGAAAGAGGGAGAGCAACCCTGTTTTATTCTTTGGCAAATCGTGGCAGGTCTCAACGAGAAGGACCCCCTCCTCTTGTTTCGTGGCGGGGGAGGCAGAAACAGTCCACGTACCACGGGCGCATTGCTTCCCACTGCGATCTGCCAGGATGCACCTTCCCGCCGCCTAGCATCTCCTGCCAGGAGCCTTCGGGAAGCCTCGAGAAGCATTATTTCACGGGGTTAAAAAAGCGATAGAGCGAGGGAACAAGACGGTGTCAGTTTACAAAGGCCCAGGCTTTCTCAGAGAGGAGTGTTGGCCGAGGTTTCCTTGCGAACGCGACGGCTGAGGTGGATGCCTTTGGCACGCCCGTGCCAAGCACGGTGGGAATACCAGACATTCCGCAGGCGGCCACGCGATCATGCTTCTTTGTCCAGGCTTTTAGCCTCCAGGCTAGTATGCAATAGGCACCCCTGCTCAAGAGGACAGGTATCTCGCAAAGGGTCTCTCGCTGTGCCGAAATAGGCGGACCCCAAAATCAGTGGTTTTCCTTTTGGTTTCCACTGTATCCAAAAGACACATGTCGATGGGTTTTTGATTGTTTGCTTGCTTGCTTGTTCGTTTTGTTTTCGTGTGTCAAAAATAGGGGGACCCCACAAAATGGGGTGGCTTCCTTTCGGCCTCCTTTGAACGCCACCCCTTCCCAAAATGGGCGGCGGGGTACCCGACGCACCGAACCGGATGCGAGGCAAGGCCACCAGCGCGCTTGTCTTCTTCCGCGGGATATCTGGAGCTGGAGCTCGCCGGGGCTCTTGGTGACCAGAGAATTATTTTGCTTCTGGGGGGGAAGGGGAACCGCCTCCTCTGGTTGAACATTGGAAGGAAACCAAAAGGACACCGGCCGCGTTTTGGGCG